TCCCTGTCTACTTCAAGGTTTGAATTACGTAGAAACAAGCTGCAAGTTACTGCTGCTGCTACTGGTACAGCTGAATCTTCTCTTCAATCAACTAAGGACAATCAGAATTGATGAATTGATGTATCTTTACAGCTTACTAATGTACTCAAGTCACTTCTGATAGTCTGCTGCTCATATTTGAGGTCATTTACTGCTACTATCTACTGCAATAAAGTCTTCAGTTGATGCTTGTGTAATTTTCAGTTTAGTGGCTCATATTTGAGGTCAGTCACTACTGCTATCTACTGTAGTAAGTGTTCGGTTGCTACTTTTGTAATATTCAGCATTGGTGAAAGTATGGTTGCTGTCTGCTTGTGTAATATTCAGTTTGGTAGAAGTCAGATTGCTATCTGCTGGTTTTGGTCAGATTGCTATCAGAAAATCAGACTACTCTCTGTTGTCAGAATTGCTAACAGCTTGTTTGCTCCCAGTTTGATCACATTAATGACAATCAGTTGATGCTTGTGTAATATTCAGTTTGGTAAAAGTCAGATTGCTATCTTGTGTTTTTTGGGTGAAATTCAGTTTGGTGGACCATAGCTTATGTCTGTGATCAGTTTGCATACTGAAAGAAGTGATTCATTTCAGCGGAGATTCCAAGAACTTTTACTCAGTCTGAGAGAAGATATTGATAAATGAAGATGCACAATGCTACACTGTTCTGTTTGCGGGAAAATGATGGTAGGAGTGCAACAAATCCCAGTTTAGTTTGAGGGAAGATATTAGCAAGAAAAATGTAATAATCTTTCCCGGTTTAGTTTGAGGGAAGATGTTAAGCATTGTTAGGAGTTTGTTTAAGGTTCTGTTAGTTTGTTAAAGCAATGGTTACTGCCGTTAGGTGTTAGTTACTGTTCAGCTTAAAGCAGCCTATTAATGGTGTCACTGTAGCTTGTACTTGTTATCAGAAATTACAACAGAATTTTTTCAGAAAACTCTCTTCTTCTTCTTCGTCATTTTCCTCTGTTAAAGAAATACCGAGTGGATTCAAATGAAGTGTAAACAAGTACACTCTGAATTATGGATGATAAATATTATTTTAAGGATAAGAGTAATCTGTACACTCATCTTTCTGTCTATTTATGTACAAGTTAATTTAATGGTGTGTTAATTTGTACTCCTAAATTCTCCTAATTTTTCTACATGAACTTACAATTCTTTTTGTCGAATGGTTGACCATTTTTTATATTTTTAAAAGGTTTTGACGAATGGTTGCCACTCAAGGAAGGATTTGACAAATTAGAAGGGGGGGAGCCGTTGTCCTGGGAGGGTGTGCCACCCACTTCAGCTCTGCATCCAAAGGCTCGACTACATGCACTGCTCTGTCACTCATGCCAAGAGCGATCTGATTAGGCTCGAATGGATGAGCTGCTATGACAAAAGGAGAGGTGGGAGTGTTGCTGCTGCAGAATACATATTGTCAATGAGTGATGGATTTTACGGGCTCCCACATTTTGATACAATGAAATATACAAAAAAATGGCTTGAAACATCTGAAACTGGTTTATATAGAATAACTGAAATATACATGTATGCAGCGCCATCAATAAATCTTCCAACAATGAGCTCAGAGCGATAAGCCACGCACTAGGCCAAGGCTTATAACATACTATCAATAAAAAACCATTGAAGTAGAAAATTAGTACAATGATGATAATAGGCTACATAACTAAATCTTTTATGCAAACAACAATATGTGATTTGGCGTCTCATTGACCTTTATTATTGTGATGCTGTGTTTCCACAGTATTAGAAATAAGATTATGGTCGGTAAGTTTACTTAGAGTGAGAGAACTGAAGAAAAACTACAACATGATGACATGGAAGCAAAACTTACTGAACGTGAACATTCAAGCTTGCTGCCATAAATGGAAATTTGGCTATCATGAACCACCAAAAGATGTGTTTGATCATTATGAAACTGGACTTTAGTTTCTCCGACCAAAGGGGATTGATGGCCAGCTGGTGCTTGTATGAACCTTGATTTCAGCTTCTCCCATTTATCAGTACTCCACATACATAGCTGCATCAAATTAATTGAATATAAATAAATTATTAAGTAGCGGAAATAAAAAACCTAGAGATAACAAAGAAGAGAAAGCTTCAACTTGATTTTTGGGACTCAGATTGAAATTCAATAGCATTTAGAAGTGACTGGGGGAAGCCATGTTTGAAACTTGTAGTAAATTAGAGTATTTCCTCATTTGTATGATTGACTATTCTTTTCAGTGTAGTAAGTGATTAGCTACGCTGGAAGTAGAATATTTTCCATTCTTGTTTTCACTTGTAAATCCTATATAACTTCTTTTTTCCCTACCCACAACTTGTTTTGAATTAAGATTGCTAAGGGATTTGAACTCAAATTACTTGGCTCACTTAGCATGATATCATGTATTCATGTTGAGTAACCACTTGATCCAAAAACCATATCAAAAGCTTCAGCTTATAGCCAAGAGCCCAATAATGGTATTTAAGCTATGACACTACTCAAATAACCAGATTCATGTTCAAAAATAATTCTAAAAGAGCATTTCCATGGAAAGATCTTCACATTAGAGATCCCCTCAAAACAATTCGATTCTTCAACTTCACCTATTCAAATGACAGCTTATGTTTGGGCACTTCTCAACGCCTATTGCTGAGAAGGTAACATCCAAGAAGACTATATTGACATAGTAATTCAACTATGTTTTGACATTTTACCAAAGAAAAGGCTCATGTATGCAGGCATTGGTTACCCTAAATGGCTTAAGATAAGCAAAAGTTCATAGAGAAAACCCTTAATGGTCCAAATGTTCTAGGTTTCTTACTCTTTACAAAAAAAATTATAGCATCCCAATTAAACATTATTACGAACAACTAATAGCAATAAACATTAACATATTAAATTTTATATTAGTCAGGCACTAACCTGAGCATCAGCCCCTGAAGACACCAATGCATTTAAAGTTTGGGAAAATGGGAGCCCTGTGATTTGATTTTGGTGACCCTTAAGTTTGGTTTCGACATGCCAACAACATCCAACATTAGTTATGCTTCCTCATTATATGTCACGCTATAAGCTTTATATAATCAAGAGAGCTATTGATTAGATTATTAAAATAGCTATACTTAAGTTTTTTTCTATTGTGATGGACTCAGGTTTGCCTTTTTGTACTTTTGTTGCATCTGTATTTGTTCAGGAAAATGATGTGTTTAATTTTAAAAAAAAAAAAATGATTTCAATAGTCCTTATGGAATTATACTAACCATCAATTCCTTAAAACAAGAAGGTAACAATAAGACTTTCCCTCTAATGAACTCTGCTAAGAAGCATAAATCAGACTGTATGCTATAGGTAATGATTCAGCCAAACCAGAATCAAATTTACATTAACAATCTCAAAATATCATCATAATCAAGTATAAATTAACACTAGCAATAAATGGAGCAAAAGTCAGTTGAACATATCCTTTGACCAAGTATACATAAAACTAGCTTCAGAAATTAAGTAAAGAAAATGACAGATCAAGTGAGAAACTTCACCTCATCAACTGGGATATTGTATATCTGAATGGTAGAATCCTCCATCCCAGTGACAATAATATTATTATCTTGAGGATGGAATGCCAAATAGGTAGCTGCCGGAGGTCGGGGCATAAACATGGTCATGACCTAAGACACAGTAAGCAATCTTATTCAATCATGTGGAATCTCAAAATATAGCAAAAGCATTATCTCAAGCAAATATTGTTGAACATGTATGAAATACAGACTTCAAATTTGGAGAGGTGCAATAACTTACCTTGAATGTCATCATGTTGAATAAGGAAACTTTTCCACCAGAGGTAGACATAACGTAAGAATCATTTTTGGATAAAGCGATGCATGCAACAGACCTCTTCAACTAGTTTATTATCATTTATGTCATTGGTCATAAGTGTTCCACTGGGAGGTTGCCACACTGGAGCGCTACGTATGCAATAGCCTGACGAGTTTGCAACTGACATTAAAAAGGTCAAAATATAAAAACAAAAGAAATTTACAAATGGAAAGTAATAAACCTTCCCCGAGGGATTCCTTTCACTACGTTGCTATTTCCAAAGCTTGTGAACAGCTCTGGCGGTAAGGGCCAATAGAGCTAGACCAGAGTTGGTGTATCCCAGGCCTAAATGCAAGGGAAATTACCAATGTATGTCACATCATTTATGCCTAATGTTTTATTTGGCTATTTATACATTGATTGGTATTAAGCTTTTAATGAACTTGATATTGTTTCTTCTTCTGTGTCTATTTGTAAGAAGTCATGTAGTTTAAATTTATTTCGCCAGTCCTCTCCTACTTTGTTAATCCATGAAACAAGCACTACCATGCAGAGAGGGTGTATTATGCCCTAACTTCACAACTGAGGTGGCATTACCATGTGAATTGGCAGTCCACATACCATCATCCTCAGAGGCATGTCAGGATATTCAAAAAAAGAAAGGAAAAATTCAAAAGCAAGGTTAGCACATCAGATGAGCAGGTTTAAACTAGCATTCCAGCATTTGACTTAACATTCTAGAGTTCCTGGCATTATGCATCCAATTCATTAGAATATACGGTTGGTATATTAACGAAAGATATAGTTCATATGATTTGCATAGCTTTATAATAGTGAAATATCTCATATATGAGCACAGGCACACAAAGGGCGGTAAATAACCACAAAGAAAATATCCAGCACAATAGAAGCAGAGGGGTTTCTTCCTAACTGAAATAAAATGCAAATACTTGGATTCTTTACCACCTACCATGCTTGGTGCTATAGAATCAGGTACGCACAGAGCTTTCATTTGTGTGCAAATCCCCAAAACCCCTCCCAAAGGCTAATGTCACCAACATTTGTCCCCACTACAGTCTAAAGAACAGAAATTTCAATCAATAATAAATAATCTCTGGAAAAAGTTTTATAAATTTTTCAGTGATCAGTCATTAAACAGTGGTTTTTTTTCTAATTTTATACCAAGAAGAATATCTTGCTACTGTGGATGGAAGTCCATGCTCATGACATTAGATCCTTGATTAAGGGTTCGCACAACGGCTTTAGTTAGGTTGTCTTGAGAATATACATTGGGAGTATGTGCTCCACCAGCAAAAGACACCTAGAAAACCAAAAGATAATAAGAGGTGAGAAAGGAACAAGAGAATTGCTACAACCAGCTGATATAAAGGCCATTTAGAAATATTTATAGCAGCTATCAAGCTTGAAAAAACAATAGATTATGTCACTCATCCAGACATCATCAGACTGGCCAGTGTAGATACGCTTCATCAAATGCTTTGAATACTCTGATTGACAATCTATCCCATTCATACCTATCGGCGTCATTGGATGTTTCAAGAATGCAGCTGTAGACATCCCAATATAAATAAATAATAAAAGACTAGAGTAATTCAACCTAACATATTAAGCCTAAAGAGGGAGAAAAACAATGCAAACTACACAATTACAAACGTCCTTACCTGCACTAGAAGACTGCACAAGACCGGTGGGGCCTGCTGCCACAGCAAGGTGAGGTAAGGAAGGACTATTGTTTGACATCTAACCAGCAATAGCACCTGGAGATGGGGAAACAACACTCTGAAATGGCTGCACAGTAAGAATCATTACAATTATTATTTGAGTATGCACCAATGTTTTATATGGCAGATGGATGCAAAATACTCACACCATGAGCACCAATAACCAAAATGCACCAGCCTTAGGAATTGGTCCCACAAGCTGGACTGTTTGTAGGAGAAAGACTAGCTCCATTAGCCGTAGGGTTGCAAGAATGATCAGTGAAGAGTGTTTTAAGATCAGGGTTTGGACAAGGATTCTTGCAATGTTGATGCTGCCAATTTAAACTGAAATTTTTTTTTAAGAAGTGAGTTCTAGAAAATAAGTCTATCAAGAGGAGGTAATATCATCTACAAAGTGTAAATGATATCAATCACCTTAAAAGTATAAGAGCAAAAGCGCAAACCCAAAGTAGAAATCATCTAATATATAATATACCAATACAAATAAATATTCGTAAAATGCATTCTGTAGGTTTTACTTTTACCAAAAAACTTGTTGTTGCACACTGACACAGGAAAATTAACTGATATGAAAAGATTCAAGAATAACCTCGGGTTTATTAATGTCCTCAGTTGTGAACTGTTGAAGGCTAGGAATGTAAGCTTGTCACGAAACAGGGGGTTTGCTTCAATTAGTTTATTAAGTTCTACAAGCATAATATTACAAACCGATTTTGTTTCTCCATACTTGGAAAGTTGTTCATTTTGCTGGATCACGAAGTGCCAGCAGAAAAAATCAACCAAAAATTTTCATGGCATACCATACCAATTAAAAAGAATGGTGGAGTAGTCACCTAAATCAACTAAAGTTATCAAGTGTAAGAAGCTGGGTAAATCTCCTTCAAATGTTCTTCATTGAAGGATGCAAAAACCTTAAGGTCCTAGTCAAGAATCTCAATAGCCTTTGCTCGATCCTTCCGGATAACATGAAGGAAAAAAATGGAACATTATTATGTATATATGGGTTAAAACTCTACATATGAAAACAAAACTACTTCCTTCTTAATGAATGGCAATACCATTAATTTTTAATATGTCCTGATGATCACTTCAATGGGTTCAATATATTGGCATAATGAATCAGAAGTCTATTACTTTCCCTTTAAATATACTCTTCAAACCATAGAGCTAATAAATTGCTTTGGGTAAACAATTCCTAGGGCTGCAGAGTAAACAAAATCTTACAAAAGGCTCCATGAACATTCATCATCCTCATATTAAAATACCAAGAATAAACCAGTATAGGAAAGGTCATTGAAGGATTAGCTTCATCATTTCATGTGCCCAAAGGAAAAAAATTCAGCACAATACCAGGTTATGGGAGGTGGTGACATCATCTGAGGCCAAGATCTGGCTTGAAAATGTGTGGCCATGCCGCACAGCTGAGGCAAAAATTCGACCAAACCGCGCAGCTCAAGCAAAGATTCGGCTGGACCTTGAGTATCCAAGCCGTTGACCGGTTTGCCGCCCCCAAATAAGGCCTTCGTAGCCGGATATTTGAGTTTATTTGTTTTACACTAACTTGAGAATTAAATAAATTAATAAATATTAAGAAAATAATAATAATATATGTGAAAGAGAACCGCTATAATTGCATAGTCAACTTATTGTTTTTGTATACACTTGCCATATGATTGTTCTGTGTTCATGAATATTAGTTTCCTATCGAACTAAAACTCTCAAACTCCTTCTTCGAATCTTTTACAGAAATCTGAACAATCTGTAATCATAAAGAACAATAAATTAATATTAAAAGCAAAAACTATGTAGAATGCTATTTTAAGCTCTAAATTGATCATAATTTATCAATTAAACAAGAAAATGAAAAATTTCCCCAACAATTACTTCAATATGTATGCTTCAAAAACATGTATAAATTAACTTTAAAGAAACATAAATTGTAATATTGTAACTTCTCTATATATACTTGACAATCTATAATTGATTCAATTAGAGGAATTTAATTAAAGATAAAATCAATAATAAAGACAATTGAAGATTTACTAATATTAATTCAATGAAAGAGAACAAAAAAGTGTACGGAAAAAGTATATTGTTAAGTAAATAAGTAGGTACCATTTTGTAAGTGTTGTGTGATTGTATCAATGTTGCTCTCTGAACAATTCTCTCATTCAACATTTGTAACCTTGGCATGCTTAAGCCTCCTCCAAAGAAAGTCTTCATCTTGGAGCATCTTCTCACAAATAATATTTCCAAAAAAAGGAATTTTAAGATGTAATCCCCAAAGCAGTAGAAGCATGTGAGACTTTCTAAATGATACAAGTACAACACCTTCAATTTCTCAAAAACAATTTCGCCTTTCTCAATATCTCTTTCATTTGCTAATACTTCTATCATCATTTTACATTCAATTATAGTTAACTCTTCTAGTTGCACCAAACTTTTGGCTGTTGAGGATGACATGAAGTAGCTTACCTTCAAAGTCCTCAGATTTTCAAAAGATGGCCATAGAGTAGTCAATTTGTGACAATATTTCACCTGTAGACTATCAAGATTTTGAAGAATTGAGTTCAATCGGGAGTCTTGTTTCCAAATGTACTTTAAATTAAAAAGTCCTTGCAATTCTAAAAATTTATTTTTGTAAGTGCTCCAACGTGTTGCTTATTCTCTTCACATTAGATTATCTTTTTATATGAACTCACTTTCAATATGAGTTTTTCAAGACTGTTAAATTTGTGAAGGATTTGAATTTGATTGTTTGCATATTCATCCTTAATCAGTTGAAGAGTTTTTACTTTGCCAAAGCTCTCTTGAAATTCTCCTTCCCAAATCAACATAATGTCCCTCCCACTTAATGTCAATTACTCCAAATTGGAGTCAACCTAAAGAAAAATCATGTCAATCAAATTAAAATTAAAATTTCCCATAAAAACATATAATAATTTTATATATAAAAATTAAGCAAGAAAAAGATATTCATTTGACATTTTTTTTTTCCTTACAATTAACATGCAATCAGTCCAGTTACTTTATCGGGCCACTTATAACCCTTAAATCAAAACAAAGAAGTTAACCTGAGGTCGGAAATTGATACCTCTAATTAATGTTGATTTGTAAAATATGATAGTTAAAAACAAGAACATGACACGTGGAATCAGTGCAGCCACTGGAACAAATTGACTTTTTGACTAGCCTTATGCTAGGATAAGCCTAGTTTTGCATAACACTAGATTACAGCTTCCAATGCTGGGAGGAAATATGTGTATCTTATTCTAACGCAAAATTTGCATTACAATACCTACACACAAACTAACTTTAAAAAAACAATTTATTATAATTAACCCTAAAAACATAATATTATTATAAAATAAATATTTAAACTAATTAATTGAATACATATACCTCTTTTTGGTGTGCTTGTTGTATGGTTGTATTAAGATCATTCTCCTTATTCTCTACTTTCATTTCTTTCGGCACCCTTTTGGTCATATTCAAACTCATATAATCGACTTTGTATAATTTTGGTGTGCTTAAGATTCCTTGAGAGAAAGTCTTCATATTGGGGCAAAATCTTATAATTAACTTTTCCAAAGATGGGAATTTGAAAGAGTAATTCCCAGAGCAAAAGCATGTAAGACTTTGTAAGTTTACAAGTGACAACTTCTTCAAATTATCAAAAACAATTTCAATACTCGTTGTTGCATCTTGTTCTCCCTCATTTTCTACTATTTCAATCAACATTCCACAATTCATTACCGTCATTTCTCTCAATTGCACCAAGTTTCTAGCTGTTGAAGGTGTTATTAACTTCATCAACCCATTGGAATTGGAAACTCTCAAAACATTAAGATTCTGGAAAGAAGCTAAGAATGGCATGAGACTCATCAATTTGCTACACCGGTGTACCTCTAGAACTTCAAGATTTTGAAAGTTTGGAAAGAATAACTCTTTGTACTGATCACACCTGTATAGTTTGAGCTCTTTCATATCGCACATGTCTAGTTTGAGCTCTTTCAGATTTTCAAATCTTTGAAGGAGTCCAAGTGGAATATTTGTTAAGTTATCATATGAGATCTCAAAAGTTTTAGATCCACTCTGCCATATAATTCTTTTCATGTCATTCCTTAATTCAAATACCTCCAAATCTTGATTGATCTACAAGATCCATCGAAAACAAAATCCAATTAGCTTTTTAATTATATACTTAAAACAAAAGTTTAGTTATTGGCTCAAAAATCACAAGCCAAACCCAATCAAATTTTGACAAATCAACTACAATCTATTTTAAAACTAGTAAATTATATTTTATTAATATTTAAAATTTAAAATCAATATTAAAAATTGCATTCAAAAACTATTTTTGTAAACTACAGATTAAACATACTTTTCTGTTTTTGTTTACATTATTTTGGAAAATAGAAAATAGAAACATGCTTTTCAAATGAATTTAGATTATTCTTCAAAGGGCTACCATGAATCAAATTTGTGAGCAAATGTTTCATTTATGTGATTTTACCAATTACACCCCTTGAAACCAAAAAACTACTCAGCCACCACTAACTTGGAAAACTACAATATACACCTCCTCCTATTGTCTATTAAATTATTTGAATTTAAGCTACAATCTAATGGAAACGACTACAGATGCAAATCATAGCCACAAATCGCATGGTTGTGGCGCAACCTTAGATTGTAGACATGAGTCATAATTGATGACTATGACTTCAACCCCATATTGCAAGCTGCAATCCAATGGTTGTAGGCACCACTACAACCATTTTCAATTTTTTTTTTTTTTTTTTTACATTTTCATAATTATTTTAAGAATAATTTATAATGTTATTTTATTTTTTTAAATAGTTATAGAAATTAAATTAATATGAATTTCTTAAAAAGTTTTTTTTTTTTTTCCAAATTTCTGTTATTTTAATTTTCAAATTTAGTATTTAATGGTTACAACTTTAAAAATATAATTTCAGATTTTGTAAATATTTTTTTCTTTATATTTTCCAATTTTCTATTTTTTTAAGTTTTTCTAATTTTATCTTCTATTTTTGAAATATTCTTGTTTAATCTTTCCTTTTGGTATGAAATGGCAATTTTATCCTCTTTGACTATAAGTTGGACTTTGGACATTTATTTATTTATTAAAACTTCTAATTTAATTAATTAAAACATGTGATTTATAACCCATAACATTATCAAACAGATATGATAATTGAAAAGAAATCGGTACATGATTTATTGATAATTACCCTAATATAATTTGATTCAAAATTTAATTGATTTATTACTCTTGGCCACCATCAAATCATTTTAAAATAATTTTGAATTTATGATCCCGTGTAGTCCGCTTTCAAGTTGCAAGCGTTTTGTAAATAATTTATTCAATGATAAAATGAATCACCTGATAAACAAATTTATAGTAAAAATAAACTTTTATTGTTGATTTCTAGAATTATATTGGATGATCTATTTTTTTTTTTTTTTTTAAATCTAAAGGTCCTAAAGTAAAATTGTTCAAATTAAATAATCATTAATTTTTTTGAATTTTCTTTCCAAGGAAAAATAGAGATGTTAAGAATTCCATAATTAAAATTTTGAATAAATGTAATATATATGAAGAAAGTTTATTTTCTTTTTTAATAAACAATGAAATAAGAGATTCGTACCTTATCGTCCAAGAAGATAGATTTTGGCTTAGAAATATGAAGTTCACCCTCCTCACTATTTTCTTGGAAGCTCATATGTTTTGAAGTGAATTTGTCACAATTTTTCACCACCAACTCTTTTAACATTGGCCATTCAAAAGTATGTATTCCAAGATAGAAAGTTGTAAGTTCTGGTAGATCTTCAAGCTTCAATGAGGTTACATGCGGAAAGAAAAAATTGACAACTGCATTTGCTCCTTCTTCTTTTGCAACAATCTCCTCTAAAGCCTTACAATTTTGTATTTTTAATTGTTGGAGTTGGTGAAGGCTTTTGGCTATGGAAGACGGAAATGCATATTTTATGTTTCCACAATTCCACAAGAACAAATGTGTCAAACTTTCATAAAAGAAATTTGGATGTTGGTTGTAGCAAATCTCTGTAGAATTGACATCTTTGAATGCCTTATACTTCAAATCAAGGGAAATGTCCTACAGCAAAAATTAATAGTTGTTTCAATATAAAGTAATTAAAAAATAATTATTATTGTTTCTAATGGATTAGAAAAATGTGTCTTTTTGTAACTCGAATTAATTTCTGAAAGGCCTAGCCCAAACTAAATAAATAATAATATAAAAAAATGTCATCCCCTAACCTAAAACCGTTTATTCAACTAAGGTCAATACTTAAAATTGCCTTATTGTCTTCTTAGTGTTATGCACTTGTATTGATAAACCGACAAAACTTGCTTCATCCTACTATTACTTGCAATCTTGTAGTTAAAATATAATATTATTTAAAAATATAAAAAAATGCAAAAATAAGTAAATATTTAAACCAATTACTTTTAAACATACCTGTATCTTGTATGCTCCTTGTATGCTTTTATTAAGATCATTCCCCTCATTCTCTACTTCCTTTATTTTCTCCCACTTCATGTTAGTCTCATTGAAGCCCTCATAATTGACTTTGTGTAACTTTGGTGTGCTTAAGATTCCTTGAGAGAAAGTCTTCATATTGGGGCATTCTCTTATAATTAACTCTTCCAAAGATGAGAAATTGAAAGAATAATTCCCAAAGCAGAAGCATATGAGACTTTTTAAGTCTTTAAGTGACAACTTCTTTAAATTATCAAAAGCAATTTCAATACTCGTTGTTGCATCTCCTTCATTTTCTACTATTTCTATCATCGTTTCACATCCCTCTACGCTCAATTCTCTCAACTGCACCAAGCTCTTAGCCATTGAATGTGTCATTAACTTCATCAACTCTCTGCACTGACTTACATTCAAAACTTTAAGATTCTGGAAAGAAGTTAATAGAGTGATCTGCATATGTTTCTCATCCTTTCCACATGAGAACATTTCTTCGTATCTACACCAAGCTAGTTGAAGCACTTCCAGATTTTCAAATCTCTGAAGGAGCCCAAGTGGAATATTTGTTGACTCATCATCTTCGATCTCAAGAGTTTTAAATCGACTCCGCCATCTAATTTGTCTCAACTTATTCTTTAAATTCAAATCCTCCAAATTAGAGTTGATCTACAAATCCATTGAAACAAAAATCTAATTAGTTTTTTAATCATTATTCGAATAATGTAAAAATCTGTGGCTTCTAAACAGTACCCACTTTCATTATAAATGAAGATTCATGGATCTTCAAACAGTAACGAATTAGATGATTGGTGAGAGAGAAGAATATGAAAAAGTGTTAAATCTCTTTTTGAAGGAAAATCTTAAAAAGTTAGTTGATTTGATAATGTCACAGTCACAGTCACTCCGTGGTTTTTGTTAATCTCCTTGATATTATATCATTTTAAAGATTTGCTTCTTCTCTTATGTTTGTTGGATTCTTTTAGATTTTGGGTTCGTTAATTGGGCCTGAGCCCATTTTGTTCCATCCATACTCAATCACCTTCCACTAGTCTTGTTTCTTCGTTGAGTAATACTACACATACATCATTTTCATATAACATTTCTCGTATAAAATTATGTGACAAGATATGATTGACTAATTTAAAGTTGAAATTAAACTCTTAACCATTGAAACAAGGATAATGTTGCCACATACTGCTTCTGTTACGGTTCCCAAGTTTTTCTTTATATTTTAAAGGTCGAACGACATGTACCTACCCATAGTTTACGATAACGACAAGTTGGTACCCAAAAGGTTTAAAAATGACAATTACCCACTTTCTGTCCAACTCTGTTAATAAAATCTGTTTAAGAAAGGGTAATATAGTAATTTTATATCTATTAATTTTAAATTCATCAATAAATCCCTAAACTTTTTTTATCATATTTTTTTATTTCATTTTTCTCTACTCTCTCTTATCTTCTTCTTCATCTCTCCCTTCTCTTTCTTTCTTTTTCTCCGTCTTTTGACTCTTTTCCCTCCTCCCCTTCTCTTTTTTACTTTTTCTTATCCCTCTTTTCCCTTCTCTCTTTCCTTTCTTCTCCAGTTCTTCGTCTTTTCCCTCCCCCCTTCTCTTTTTTCCTTTTCTTCTCCCTCTTTTCCCTTCTCTTTCTTTCCTTTCTTCTCCGTCTTTTCCCTCCTCCCTTCTATTTTCTTCCTTTCTTCTCGGTCAGGACCTCCACCAGCTCCAAACTCGCCACCAGAACCACCAAATACAACCATCACCACCACCACAAACCACCACAAATTTCAAACACTTCCAGCCCAAACTGTAAAAAGTTATAAAAATTTGAAAAAAAATTAAAAATTAAAAAACTGAAGAGGAAAAGACCACCAAATACAACCATCACCACCGCCACAAACCACCACAAGTTTCAGACACTTCCAACCCAAACTATAAAAAATTATAAAAATTTGAAAAAATTTAAAAACTGGAGGAAAAGACGGGTTCTTGCCTAGCGACCAAAGGGAAAAGAGGGAGAAGAAAAGTTAAACAGAGAAGGGGAAGAGGGAAAAGACAGAGAAGACAAGGAAAAAAAAGAACGAGAGGAGGGAAAAGATGGAGAAGAAAGGAAAGAAAGAGAAGGGAAAAGAGGGAGAAGAAAAGGAAAAAAAGAGAAGGGGAGGAGGGAAAAGAGGGAGAACTGGAGAAGAAAGGGAAGAAAGAGAAGGGAAAAGACGGAGAAGAAAAGTAAAAAAAAGAGAAGGGAGGAGGGAAAAGACGGAGGAAAAGAAAGAAAGAGAAGAGAGAGATGAAGAAGAAGATGAAAAAGAGACTATAGGGATTTATTGATTAATTTAAAGTTAATGGGTATAAAATTACTATATTGCCCTTACTTAAACAGATTTTATTAACAGAGATAAACAGAAAGTGGGTAATTGTCATTTTCAAACCTTTTGGGTATCAAATTGTCATTATGAAAAACTATGGGTAGGTACATGTCGTTCGGCCTATTTTAAAAATGAAACCATTGAAATTGGTTTAAATTAACTGTGGGAAGGACAAAGGGTAATTGCATATGATTCTTTAATTTACTTATCAAATTAATTTCAGAAAAGACTATCCTATGAAAACTAAACATGCTCTAAACAAACTTGTCTTTTTCTGGCGTGTATAGAAAAAAGGAGTTCATTTTTGTCATTCTCCCTATTATAATATGGGCATTTTTGTCTTATAATTTTCTCTCTCTTAAATTTAATGGTAACTAACATAATTTTGTCCTTTTTGAACTGAATTTTTGCTAATCATGTTAAATAATTTTGAATTTGTGATATGGTTCCCAATCATAAGAAGGATCACTTGTTAGGCACATTTTAAGTAAAAATAAAGAGACTGTTATCAAATGAGGGATAATGTTTTAAGAAACTATAAGAAAAAGTAGACAAGTTTCAAAATAGTTTTAAAAAGGGATAAAATGTTATTAGAGATAGTTAGATTTAACATTTGTAAGGGTATAATTTTATACAACTTTTAAAATATTTTTAGTTGAAAAGTAAATTTATATAAAATAATAATAATTAAAGGATTATTTTTATAATAATTAAAAAAAAAAAGTAAATTAAGCAGGGGCCTTGGCCAGCCGCACACCACTTGCAAGGCCAGCCATGTTGTGAGAGGAGGGATTTGGCAACTGCAAATTGTGAGCAGAATGACTTTGGTTTTGGGGAAGTATCAGTTGATAATATCTATATCTTCTCCAATACAAACTTAAAATATCAATAACAAAAGGTTCTCTTCCAATTGATAATATCCCAAAATAAAATCATATTGCCAATTTCTAGTAAATATTTGATAATTTCTAGAATTATATTGGATGATTTAAACATAGTACTTTAATGAGTTTAATTGACAAGACTCCAGTAATAAAACCGTCCAAATCCAATTGACCATTAATTTTTATTTCTTTTTTTTTTTCTCTAAATGCTAGTTTAAGAAAAAAAAAAAAAAAGATGTTAAAAATCACATTATTAAGTTCTAATTTATGTAATATATATAAAATGAAGGTTTTTTTCTTTTTAAATAAAGAAGTAAACAAGAGACTCGTACCTTATGCGCTAGGCAGAGGGATTTTGGCTCTGGAATTTGAAATGAATTTTCTTGGAAGCTTAGATATTTTGAAGTGAATTTTTCACATTCTTTGATCACCAACCTTTTTAACATCGACAATTCATAAGTATGTATTCCAGGATAGAAAGCTATAAGATTTGGCAATTTCTCAAGCCGCAAATTGGTAACTTGCGGAAAGGCAAAATTAACAGCAACTTTTGCTCCTTCTTCTTCCGCAACAATCTCCTCTAAAATCTTACAATCCATTGTCTGAAGGTGTTGTAGAGTCTGGAGGCTTTTGGCAATGGAAGATGGAAACACGTATTTTATTTTTCTACAACTCTTCAAGATAAAGTGTGTCAAATTTTGATAGGAGGAAGACAAAAGTGTTGGAAATTGGTTGTCCCAAATCTTTCCAGAACTAATATTTTTCAATTCCAAGGCCATCAAATTGGTGAAAAAAACCTGCAGCCAAAGTTGATTGTTGTTTTAATAGTTACTCATATGAAAAAAAAAAAAAAAAAAACTAATAATTGATTCTTATGGATTTATAGATGAATATGGCATTGATATAAACAATGTGTCTTTTGTCTCTCTAAAAAGTAATGAAATTTAACAGAAAATTAAAATCACTAGAAAAAAACGCAAAAAGAGAAGAACAAATAATTCAACATCAAAATTATGTGTTAACAAATGAGAATAAGCATAAGAAAATATAATAGAGAAGTGCAAGACGTTAACTTCAATCAAACCTTTTCGTTAAAAAGTGGCTTGAGATTGTTATCATCACGACGGGATCCGACCAACCGTAAGAGTTCAACATTCTTGAGAATTCGTAATTCTTCTAAAGAGATGGTAAAATCATATTGAAATTTAAAGATTCTTGAAAATTGATACCAATCATAATCGTCGAACAATTCATCTTCTATTGATATATTGCACCTTTTAAGCTCTCTAGAATAGAAGTCTTTAGGCATCATCTTCTTATCTTTAATATATATTTCTAAACTGGTCAATTGAGATAAGTGCTTCAACTCCTCAAGTACTTCAACCTTCCATTGAATACTACATCCCTTTATATACAATTCTTCTAGTTGGGATAGTTTTGATATCACATTTGGCGCAATAACTTTTAATTGCCAACAATTGCTCAAATCTAAAATCTTTAACCCAGTCAATTGACCCATTTCTGTAGACAACTCCTCAATATTAGTATTTCGCAAGCTAAGGACTTTTAGCTTCTTAAGCTTTCCGATAATAGCAATATCTTCAATTTCGCTATCATCTAAATACAATGTTTGAAGGTTTGTCAGAAGATCAAGTGACGACAACAACGACTGTTGTATTCCAAATAAATTTAAAACTTTTAGCTTTGGCATCACTGTGAAGAACTCCTTAGGGATTTCGAAAGAAGAACCCCTAAGAAATTCAAGTTTTGGACAATCTAATGCTTCAGGCCAAAGTTGAGTGATAATATTATTACCCACTAAAGAGACAATTGTGCATTTTCTAAGTTTATCTTTATCCTTCCATTCCCTTTCAATGTCATTTCTCTCCGTAAGTACATGGTAATCTGTATATGCACATGTTAAAGCAACAACGCGAACAACATCATGCATAGAAAATCTTCCTTTGGTTCCACCATCAAGTAACAAGCAAGAGTCTTTGAGTTCCTTGACCACTGAATCCAGTCTATTCCGTGCTTATTCTATTGTAAGGTTAGCTCCTTCAAGTATACTCAAACTAACGATATTCTTGAGCAAGTCTAAAATGGAAGTATTGTTTTTCATTAGACTAAGAATTATGAAAGTTTTCTTGAGCTCATCATCTTCTAAATAATCGTAACTCAACTTAATCTTTGAATATTCCTTTTCTAAAAGTCTTGTGAACTTTGCTGGGGAAGGCGTTCTTAGTATTAGCAAAGCATCTTCCCATTGAGATTTTTTTCTTCTGTTCCTTAATGCCTTTGCTATAGTACAAATGACAATAGGCAAACCTCCACATTCTTTGCATACATCCTTTGGTAAAGAATTCAATCCAGGCGTTTGAATAACATTACCTGCACAAGAAGCTATGATTATATTAATTGCATTTACTATTCACATGCTTTTGATTTAGAAACAAGAAAAGTTCCAAGTGTTGTTATTTTCCCTCTAGCTATCTTGTTAGACTTTTTTCTAAACAGAACCATAAAAAAGTATATGAGATTCTAAATAAACTGCACTTAATTCCAAATAAAATTCTTTTCCACTCTTCATCTCTAAAATCATAGAAATACATTTTGTCTTATCAAGAGCTTTAAGACAATATTTATAGAAAATAAAAATAAGGCGATGAGAAATGAGGAAATGTAAAATAAAGCTGCCAAGTCAATTCTCATTACTGTGAATTTAGGCTGAAAATAATTAACTAACGCCATCTAATAAAACTAATTCAAATATTAATGAATATACTTTAAATTTAAGTCAGAAAGTAATGTTTAGGTCCATGACTATTATTCCCTGAGATTTCTGTTAACACTCAAGCCCTTTTAGGTTTTGGAAATAACAATTATAACCTGTTGACAGATAGCCATTATAAAACCCTGAAAAACTAGAGTGAAGGGTAGAGAAGTATTTACTCAATGTATTAATTAAGCTAAATAAAACCCTAAAAATCTTATTCCTAACTCATTCACTCTGTCTTGCCGCCACACTCCTACCCCATTCCCATTAAACCCATCTTCTTAAAATTTCGTCACTCTGCCTGGAGAAAACTCAAGCAAGGGGCAGCAAATCCCCTTTTCTTCTTCCTAGCCACCTCACCTTCAAACCCAAACAGTGACACCTTGGGTGGTTTTTTTATGCATCAATTTGGGCTGGGGAGGTTGTTTTAAACCTGGATGGTGTTGTTGATGATCTTGTGAAGTTGATTTGATTGGTGATCTGGTTTTGTTGTGGCTGATGTGGTGGTGGCGGTTGTTTAAGGGTTGTGTTCTGTGGTGTGAGTGCAATGGGGATGTGCTGTGGTGTGAGTGCAATGGAGATGTGCTGTGGTGTGGGTGTAATGGAAGTGTCCTACACTTTGCGTGTTGTGGTGGTGCGCTGGAGGCCAATGGGTGCGGCAATGTTCGTCATCTGATTTGCTGTGGTTGTTGTGGTGGTGGTCTAAAGGGTGGGTTGTGGTGTGGGTGCATTGGCGATGGTTGTGTTATGGATGCAATGGAGATGGCAATAATATGGAGGTGCGGTGGTGGTGCACGGGAGGCTAAGGGGTGTGATGGAGGTTGACAGTGGCTACTGGTAGGGGTGAGTGGGGCACAATGTGGGTGAGGTTTGTAACTACCGGGTTTTAGGAGGAGCGGAGGTTACGAAATTAAAAATGAGAAAGAAAAAAAAATGAATAAAAAGAGAGAAAAAAATAGGTTACGAATTCAAAAGAAAAAAATTACGGTTATAAAATTACTTTTAAAAAAAAAAGATTAAAAATATGAATAAAAAGAAAAAGAAAAAAATACGGTTATTACATTTAAAAAAAAAAAAAAAAGATTAAAATATAAGTGAGTTACACTCAATCCCAGCCAAACCCCACCCAGCAGCTCCAACCTCTTCGCAACCAAAGAGTGTAGGTGATTTGTATGATAACCTTTTTCTTTTTCTTTCACTTTTTATGATTCTGGGTTTATAATTATATGATTGTGGCTATTAATGGTGGTGGTGGGTGGTGGTTTTTTTATGCATCAATTTGTGCTAGGGAGGTTGTTTTAAACCTGGGTGGTGTTGTTGTTGATCTTGTGAAGTTGATTTGATTGGTGATCTGGTTTTGTTGTGGCTGATGTGGTGGTGGTGGTGGTTTTTTAAGGGGTGGTGTTCTGTGGTGTGGCTGCAATGGGGATGTGTTGGGGTGTGGGTGCAATGGAGATATGTTGTGGTGTGCGTTTAATGGAAGTGTCCTGCACTTTGCGTGTTGTGGTGGTGTGCTGGAGGCCAATGGGTGCGGCAATGGTCATCATCTGATTTGCCGTGGTTGTTGTGGTGGTGGTCTAAAGGGTGGGCTGTGGTGTGGGTGCAATGGCGATGGTTGTGTTATAGATGCAATGGCGATGGCTCTGGTGTGGATGCAATGGAGTAGATGGCAATAATTTGGAGGAGCGGTGGTGGTGCACGGGAGGCTATGGGTGTGACAGAGGTTGTCAGTGGCTACCGATAGGGGTGGGTGAGGTTTATAACTACTGGGTTTTAGGAGGAGTGGAGGTTAGGAAATTAAAAATGAGAAACAAAAAAAAGTTGATTGAATTATTTTTCAACAGAATCGGATTAAAAAATGAATAAAAGGAGAAAAAAAATAGATTACGAATTTAAAAGAAAAAAATTACGGTTATAAAATTACTTTAAAAAAAAATCAGAGTAAAAATATGAATAAAGAGAAGAAAAAAAAAATACGGTTATTACATTAAAAAAATATATATAAATGAGTTACACTCAATCCCAGCCAAACCCCACCCAGCAGCTCCAACCTGTTCGCAACCAAATCCCTACCCAAAGAGTGTAGGTGATTCGTATGATTCTGGGTTTCACTTTTTCTTTCACTTTTTATGATTCTGGGTTTATAATTATTTGATTGTGGCTATTAATTGTGGTGGTGGGTGGGTTTGAAAAAGCGGCGGGAATGATGTCGTATGTATGGAAGGTTGTGATTTTTGAAGAGAGGGCAGTGGTGATAAGTTGTTTTCTTGTAAGCCAGCACTATTATTCTATCAATGGAGTAATTATACAGATTTTGAAAATATTTCATATTATTACTGTTTTTAACTTGTTATTTATTCACGCCAAACCATAACACATATTTTATGTGTTTTCAAATTATAATGAGTTATAACAATTACCTGTCATTTTCTTGAATAGCCTCCAAGCTTCTTCTTCATTTAAAATACCCATCTTGAAATTAGTTGTTGAACCCATCTTCTCCAACACATCTACGTTTCTTGTTGTCATCAATATTTTACTTCTTCCACGATCAGCTCCAAAAGGAATTCCAATCTTTTCCAAAGTTAGCTCTTCCCAAATATTATCTACAATTAAAAGGATATTCTTCTTCTCCATTCTAGAATATAACTTATTTGCTCTTTGATTCTCATCTTCCATTGCATCTTCGAATTTGAGACGTAACTTGTTTGCAATTATTGTTTGAATTTTTTTTGTATCCGGAGTTTCTGTTACCTATAAGACAAAGAACCGCGTAATAAACAAAAAAAAAAAAAAAAATCTTAAACGGATAACTAAGCTTAAAAAAAAAAAAAAAAAAAAAGACATTCATCTATAAAAAAAAATAACCTAACAAAAAGTAAACCTTAAGAGATAAAGTGAACCAAGATATATAAAATTATAAATAAAATAACGAAAACAAAGATTTCTTTATTAAAAACGAACTATTGAATACTTTTTTCTCATTAATTATAAACGTCTTTATATAGAAGAGTAAAGTCTAATTAATTTAACTCAAATAAAATTAATGATATAAATTAAATACTAATAATTATCACACTAAATAAATATCCTAATATAATAAAGTGAAACCCCTTAGTTTAAACATTACCTCAACAAAAACAATCTCATCAAAGAGCTTATCCTTCTCGGCTTTCCTGCCAATTTCCTGCACAAGAGTGGTCTTGCCTAGACCACCCATCCCATAAACACCCACCATGTCGATTTCCTCATCATGTAAAGTATCCAATACATTCTTCACAGTGGAGTTTCTTGATTCGAATGCCAAATAATCTTCATTAGATCTAAGCCATATCTCCTTGTGAATAGTAGGATGGGAAGCTTTATCGAATCTTTCTCCTTGCTGCAAGAGTGGACCAATATTATCCACCATTAATTCGGATGCTGCCTTGCTATTTCGGTAGCGGGTCTCCCAGTCAGTGCCAACCGAGCTTTGGTTTTCAATCAACTCCGCTGCTTTAACAATGATAGAGTCAACATCCTCTAGCCACTTCTTCACATCCTCTTCAATCTCTTCCACATTTTTTTCGGCCTTCTCAACCATACGCTGCACTTTGCTTCTTGCATTCTTCAGCTTCGAAACATCATCTCGGAGCTTGTCAAAGTTCTTCTCGTAGTTGGATTGAATACTTGAATAGGAAATCGTATCGAATCTTTCTTCTTGCAGCAGGAGTGGAACTATATCATCCCGCTTTAATTTGAATGCCTTCTTGCTATGTTTGTATTGGGTGATGCAGTTGGGGCACAATCCCTTGAAACATCGAGGGTTGTTTTCTTTCTCTTCAATCAACTTCTCTGCTTCAGTAATGGTATTGTTCACCTTAGTCTGCCAGTCCTTAACGCTCTGTTTGATCTCTTCCACGTTTATTTCAGCAGCAACCACCTTAACCTGCACTTCTTCACTTGTATTCTTCAGGTTCTTAACTTCATCTTGGAGATTGTCAATGTTCTTCTTGTAGTTGTACAGGTACATAAATTGACGCCCAATCGGAGCAGCCAAGCACTTGACAATATCCAGAACAAAACTCGCGATTTCGACCATTTCCAACACTTTTTACTTAAGAGAAAGACAGTAAAAGAAAGTAAAACAGAGTTAAAAACAGGACAACTAGGGTGCAAACTGTCGAATTTGAAAAATACAAGAGGAATTTTGGATTAAAAAAATCAGGGATGAGATTCTTTTTTTTTTTTTTTTTTTTTGTTAAGAAGAAATAAAGAACAGGGATTTTTTTTGTTTAAAAGAGAAATAAAGGAACGAAAGAGAAGTGAAAAATCAAGCAATCTGGCTTCAGAGTAAAAATATTTGAAGTGGTATCTGAAGGGGTGAGAGAGGTTTCTGAATGAAAGTATGTTTTAGTGATTTCTGAATGACTGAGAGAGAGAGAAGAAAACTGAAGAAGAAGAAGAAGAGAAACAAAAATTGATTGTAACATCCATAAAAGTCCAAAAGAGCACTTGAGTTTACTGATTTTCCATCAACTTTTCTTTTAAGTTTCAATTGAATTTAAAAATGGAAACCCACCGACTTGAGCTGTTTTGCTTAATATAATAATAGGACATAATAAAATATTATCTAAGGAATCCTACATTTCTACTTTCTGATAACAATTTTAGGATAAATAAAAGAATTATGAGTTTTGATATTATAACAATCCTCATTCTAGGAATGAGTAGACAGTTCACAACCTAACGTGACAGTTCACAATTTATCAACTTACAATTAATTAGTGAGACTCATATAAAAACCCTGTGAGACCGGTTGTGAATAGACTAATTGGGGTGTGTAGTGCTCACTCTTATAAGCAGAAAGACCCATCCCTTACCTATTTGATGTGGAGTTAAACATATGTATATATTTAATTTCAAGATATATAATTTTTAAAACTTTTGGTAATATGGGCTCTAAGCCTAAGCATAAGCCGGCCATTGATCAAGACAAAATATTTCTTGTATCAAATTATTTTTAAAATGGAATATGTTAACAAGATTAGGTATCTATTATTGCAATTTAAAAATATTTTAATATTTGTCCAAAATCTTAAAAATCCCCTGAGGTATCGGCATTCACTTAAAACCCCCTGTCATTAGTCATTTTTGGTTAATTTTCATATAAAAGGATAAATGACTTTAATACCCTCGTCTCCCCATCCTAACACCCCACTTCTTCATTAACATGCCCAGCAACTACCCTATCATGCCCCAAACCCTCCTCCCGTATAAGCCACAACAACACCTCAACCACCATAGCCAGGAAGCCGCTCACCGCAACCATACTCGCACAAAATAAAAATAAAAAACCATTCGGGCGTTTGATCAAACATCTTCTATGCTTTTATAAACTCTCCTCTTGCAAGAACTTTCTACCTTTCTCATACCCACATAACATTATTACCAAATAAAAAAAAAGGAAACAACCATTTCACACCCAAAAAAAAAAAAAAAAAAAAAAAAAAAAAAAAAGAAGAAGAAGCAAAAGTGATTGCTGGATCGTTTCCGATTAAGAATTTCAACAGTAAGTTTACCAACTCTTTCAGCTCTCTTTTTGTATGTGTGCACTTGCCACAACTGCAGATATATGACCCGCATGATTTAATCTGTGAAATTAATTCGATCCTTTTGAAACTTGAATGTATGTTTTGACAATCTTAATGGCAATGCGGTGTGGTTGAAGAGATTGGGGTGGGAAGATACGAGGAAAGGAGGAAACACGATGGAGAAAGGGGTGCAGGCGGCTGTGGGTTCGCTCGCTGGGTCGCAGGCGGTTGTAGAGTGGGTTTGCTAGAGGGTTTTGTGTCTGTTGGTGGGTTTGTGTTTGCCATAGGTTAAAGTGATATATGCTTTTTTTTTTTTTTTAATTTGATTAATAATTCTTAGCTATAAAATTTATTAGTGATTTACTCTTTTGCCGCCATTTTATTAAAACTAACAGAAAAATCTTACCGTTCACCTAACCGTAAAGTGGTAAGGGGTTTTAAGTTAATACTCATACCAAGGGGGTTTATCAGATTTAGGCCAAACCTCACATGTTTAAACTAATTATCCCTAATCATATTCTAATCCATGTTTAGAACAATCCAAAAGTACAAACAAAAAACCCACAACTTCCTGCATATAAATATTAAATAATCAAATAAATAAGTGAAAATTAGTTAATTTGGTCAAAATGAAAGTGACCAAAAACCTAGGGTGATGTTGGACACGTTATTTTAAGCCAAAATTTAATTTAATTTTAAGGAATCCTACATTTCTACTCTCAGATAACAATTTCAAGGAAAAATAAAAGAATTAAGGTGCCATTTGGATCGAAGGTAATCTTCGTTTATTTTGTAAGATTCTTACGTTTGGTTTGCAAGTATTAAAATATTACAGTAATCTTTTATTGTAAATAGTGTTTTTAGTTGGTAATGTGGGGGGTAATCTTATTACCTTGTTAGGGGGTGTTATTAAAACATTTTCGGGATAATCTAATTTTTGTACCCATTTTGCCTTTAATTAAAAACCATTTCGGACACAATTGCCCTCAGATGTCTACCAAATAACAATTACCAAGCCCCCCTACATTTGAGAAATTAGCTAAAACACCCTAGTCACAAAAAAGTTTAAAAGTTAACAAAATACCCCCAGCCGCCAAGACCACCGCCATATATAACCAGTCGTGTGCCATTCTGCCAACTGCTAGTGATGGTGGCTGGCTGCCGACAGTAGATTAGGGTGGATGGGGGTGATTTTGCTATAAATTAAAGTTTTATATAGTTTGGGTGTTTTAGCAAATTTCAAATATAAGGGGTTAAAAAAATCATTCAAAAAATAATATAAAAAATACCATTATACTAATATTTAAAAAGGAGGACAATTTAGTAATCTATATAATATATCCACCCATTTATCCTTCCAACCAAACATATTATTCATCAATTTATTCGAACCAACCAAACACATTTTCTAAACATTCTCAGTAATCTTTAAAGTGATATTTCTTTTCGTTAATATAATATACCCCTATAATAAAATATTATATGATCCAAACGCCCTCTAAGAGTTTTGATATAATAGCAATCTTCATTCTAATAATATATTAAAAACAATCATTCAATAATGATTAATGATTTTATTATTTTAATATTGTACATTTAGTGAAGAATTAATTCTCATAAAAGTTTTTTATAAAAACACTATCAATTACATTCTTAAATTGAATAATTCAATAAAAAAATAATAATAATTTTTTAATATTGAAAAAAATACACTTTCAAAATGTATTGGGGCCATTACTCTCTCCCCAAAAGATTAGCCTATGAATAATACTATGTGCACTAATAAAAAAACCATACAACCCAAGTATTAACTGACAGTGGCAGACCTCTCTTATTGTCACGTTAGGTCTCCCCAAAAACAAAAACAAAACAAAAAGAATTTCAAAATTTCAATTGTTAGTACTTGGATTAGTACAATTTATTTAGTGCACATAGCATTACTCTTAACCTATTTGGTTGTGTAGTGCCCACTCTTATAAGCCGAAGACCCATCCCTTACCTATTTGATGTGGACCTAAACAGATTTATATATTTAATTTCAATTTTCAAGTGGTGCAATTAATATTCATATATATAATTTTTAAAATTTTTGGTGGGATATGGGCTCTTAACCTAAGCATAAGTCGGCCATTGATCAAGACATAAAATATTTCTTGCATCAAATTATTTTTAAAATTGAATATGTTAAAAAAATTAGGTATCTATTATTGCAATTTAAAAATATTTTAATACAATACTTTAAACCCCCGAGGTTTGTCCGAAATTTTAAAAATCCCCTGAGGTATCGGCATTAACTGAAAACCCCCTGTCATTGCCCATTTGCAGTTAGATTTCATATTAAAAGGATGAATGATTTAATACCCCTGTCTGCCAATCCTAACACCGCACACCCAATAACTACCCTATCATGATTATTAATGCCCCAAAACCCTCCTTCCCCGTGTAAGCCATGGAAGGCCCAACTCTTCCCCACTACAACACCTCAACCACCACAACCAGGAAGCTGCTCACCGCAAAAATACTCACACTAATTAAAAAAACCTTTCGGGCTTTTCATCAAACATCTTCTACGGTTTTTTAAACTCCTCTTGCAACAATTTTCTACCCTTCTCATACCCATAACATCATTACCAAATTAAAAAAAAAGGAAAAAACCATTGCACACAAAGAAAAAGTGAGAAAAAGTGATCTTTTTTTTTTTTTTTTTTTTGCCGATTAAGAATTTCAACAGTAAGTTTACCAACTCTTTCAGTTCCCTTTTTGTATGTGTGTACTTGCCATGGCCGCAGATATATGAAATTTTCCCACATTTTGCTTGTAGATCTTTAGAAATGAGTACAAATCCAAATATCGGTGTACCCGCATGATTTAATCTGAGAAATTAATTCGATCATTTTGAAACTTGAATGTATGGTTTGACAATCTTAATGATGACACGGCGTGGTTGAAGAGATTGGGGTGGGAAGATACAAGGAAGGGAGGAAACACGATGGAGAAAGGGTTGCAAGCGGCTGTGGATTCGCTAGCTGGGTTGCAGAGTGGGTTTTGTGTTTGTTGGTGGGTTTGGGTTTTGCCATAGGTTAAAGTGATTATCCATTTTTTTTTTTTTTTTTTTGGTGATAATTTGATTAATAATTGCTTAACTATAAAATTTATTAGCGATTTACTCTTTTGCGCCCATTTTAATTAAAAACTAACAGAAAAACCTTAACGTTCACGTAACCATAAGGTGGTAAGGGGTTTTAAGTTAATACCGATACCAAGAGGGTTTATCTAGTTTAGGCCAAACCTCACAGGTTTAAAGGAATTATCCTTAATTACATTGTAATACATGTTTAGAACAATCCAAAAGTAAAAACAAAAAAGCCAACAACTTTAAGCATATAAATATTAAATAATCAAATAAATAAGTGAAAATTAGTTAATTTGGTCGAATTGAAAGTAAACAAAAACCTGGGGTGATGCCAGACACATTATTTTAAAATTTAAATCAAAATTTTATTTTATT